CTAAAAGCTTATTCATATATTATAAATAATTTTAGATAAACTAACAAGTTAAACCAGGAAGTAAGGAAGGAACTTATATTGGAATTGTTAATAATTATATTCTGGTTGTAGTTTTGCAATAGTTTATTATACACAGATAGAATTCTTTATTAATCTTCACTGACCAAGGAAGGTGATTGTTTTATTGAGATGGCTTCTGATTCTGCTTGTGTGGATCTGATCATTAAATTCCTTGCTAAAATGATGTAATCTTGCAGTAAAATATTTCTTGCAAATACATTTGAGTGAGTAGTAAATTGTGGTGATTTTGGTCGGCTTCTTGTTGAAAACAATGGTCTCCAGAAAAAAGTGGGATCCCTATAAACTGTGCTATAACAGTAGTGGTCATTTTCTGTAGTATATTTATGTCGTTGGGAATATTCCTGCCGTCTATATTTATTTTATTCCTAAAAACTGACTCACAAAATCTGCACACTTTTATGACTTCATCTGACGGTTCAATTAGCCCACCTCTATTCTTAACAGAAATCAAGGTATCCACAGAGGATGGAGACGTTTTGACTAAAAGGTCACGACAGTCATTGCAGATTATTTGTTTTCTGATAGATCGTGCAACAAAGCCTGCAATGTATTGGATTATATCAGCAACGATGTTGGTTCCATTTGAAGAAGGAAGGTCCGGTACATGGACGTCGTCTACCGTATTTTCATTCATATCATGGAATAAATGTTCTGTCGTTCTATAGCCTTGTGTTGAAAGGTTTATCTCATCATTTTCGTTATTGGACTTACCTTACTATTGAACTACCTTATAAGGACTATTGAAAATACCTTACTTTTGTCCAAAATTAAACAATTGCCAGTGTCGCTTTCTTCTAGCTCTTTATGTAAAATGATTCGTTGAATAGATCCTGAATAGATTAAGATAGATTGAATAGATTAAGCAGTAATGTAAGCAGTTAATGTAAGTTAGTAGATGTTTTGATTTAAGTAAATAGTAACAGTGTTACTATTTTACCAAAATATAGTATAGAGGAGACGTAGGAATTGGCTAACTCAGGAACTCGCTAACTCGGTCGTGTGGTGGAACTGGCTAATTCTGGAACTGGTTAACCGTCTCAGTCAGGAATTGGCTAACTCCGGAACCCGCTAACTCGATTTTGTCTCGCGGCGGAATTCGCTAACTCTGGAAGTCGCTAACCCGGCCGCGCCCACTGCTCGGAGCGTTGCCAACCTTGTACGACAAAATAATCGTACACTGCCGTATTTCAAAATGTCAGTGTCTATAAAGATACAGTAAATGTTATTGTTTTTTGTTATCAATTCCACTTTTAACAGATAACTAGCCCAAAGTAATTAAAAGACAATTAAAAAATCATGAAAAAGTGTTTTTTTTATTATACTGTACAATGGCCAGTTAAATGTTTATGATTTCGATCTTAAATATAAATGCCATCAGTATAAAAGAAAATAATAGAATATGAAAAATATTCAAAATTTAGTTTAATTGGTAATAAATAATTAAACCTCTACGAAATTAAGCTAAAATACACGCAAGTTCTTAAAAACGGAAAACAGATTTAATTGTAATGTCGTAATAAACCAAAACCATTAATTAATACAGTCATCAACCATCGTAACTTTCATAATTAATTCATAGATTTTAAATTAAATGTTCGTCGTTGAACCGTCCAACTTACGTGTACAAATATGATGACATAGACTAAGTTTTTATCTAGGCCTAATAGTTTGAACCAAAGCATTGTAGGCCTACTAGTAAATAGTTGCCTAATTCTAAAATGTGTTGAATTTTTTAACAATGATGTTACATGTTTTAAAACGGTTTTTAGATTGTACACCTAAGCACCACTAGTAAAAAATAGGAGAAGATATAATATTCATATAATAAAACGTGACAGGGTTATTTTAATTCACGATTTTTAATAAACTAATTGACGGATTTTCCTGATTTGAGTGTTGGGTTTCCTTTATATTGCTTTCACAAACGATATAAACTATGCCAAGCCATTGCTCGGTTCACCGTTCCTTAGTATTGAGCTACACAATAGACAATAGCTTTGTTTTTGGATAAGATAGAACCAGCCTGGAAAAAAACTCCAGACTTTTAAAAAGTAAGCCTACTGAAAGACGTAAAACTAATATTAATTCAACACAATTAAGAGGATGACCCGGGTTCTACACTAATAGCCTACGATAAAAGAAATTTACAAGTTGTATTTATGCATAGTCTAACTTTTAATGCAATCCATGAATACATTAGGCCTACCACTTTATAATGTATTGATAAATATTTATTTAAATTCAATAGCTCTATTTAAAAATACATAACCACTACAATGTAATTCTGTAATGACGTTTAACGTGTAAATTTTATTATATTTATGATTTAAGGTTACAACAAGCCCAGTATATAAAATACGAACTCAAAAATTTTATTTGCAGAAGTTCACAAAATGGTATTTATTCGAATAAAAGAAACAAATGGCGGACTACGAAAATAGATATTTCATAACATGCAATAGATCCAAATTAAATGTGCATTTTTATCTTTTTCATACCAATAAGCTACTATTTAAGTAAGAAACCCACATATAAAACATACTCCCTTATATTAGTACATTTCTCATCCTTATGGATGATCTGAAGACAGTTGTATTGTTAGTTCTGTCTGGTGCACTGTCTTTAGAGGTCGTGTTTTGTTTACAATTGTTTCTTGTTTTCAGTAATTTAAAACCTCGTTTAACCAAATAAAACGTTCTAATCACAACTAATAACACGTCCCCTAGTTATATAACCAAACAGTAAGGAACAAATCATGAAGTTAACTATAAAATAATAGAAACACAATTTTGTCGACACTAGCGATCAGTGTCACCGGACATGAACTAGACACGAAAAACTAGCTTCAAAGTTTACAATGGGATGTAAAGTTTACTTGTGTTGGTTAGTCTATGGTAAGACTATAATGTATTTTCCACCCTAATAATCATAAGAACTTCTCTGTGGCTAAACATACTTCTAAATATATTTATTTTATCGACTACGTTGCTCTTACTCCTAATTAATGGTAGGATACGACATTATGGTGCCGATACGATATAGGTACTACACTTTCGGCAACACTGGCCAAAAATATTCGTGCTTGGCTCCCATTGGACGGCCCGCGAGGCTTCTGATTGGGAGTTAGCGAGTTCCGCCGAGGGACCGAGTTAGCGACTTCCGTACGAGGACGGAATTCGCTAACCCGGCTCTAGAGCGGGTTAGCGGGTTCCGGAGTTAGCCAATTCCGAAACCGAACAAGTTAGCGAGTTCCTCTCATCGACCAAATTTGAAGATAGGGCATTTAACATGGGGTTAGCGAGTTCCAGAGTTAGCCAATTCCGCGGACCCGTATAGAGTTGTAATATGTATAAAGGATAGCTTATTCGTGTTTATTAATAACTACTAGAAGTATTTTTCACTTTCTCATTCCAGTTTCCATCAAGATTACAGTTTCCTCTGGTATAAGACATAGGATCAAAAATAATTAACTATTATTCCTGCCAATATTAATGCTTACCTGTGAAAAGTAACATCGTTAGTTTTTCCTCTATTATTGCATCCGTAGGCAGCACAAGTTTGCGGCATTACTTTGTCCTAACCTAAATAATTCACTGTTGAAACTAAGCTAAATAACTAAATAAAACGAAATCAATATAAAATATGTTAAATTTCACCATTCAACTCTACAGATTACACCTTACTACGGTTATAATTGTTAAAAAATACAAGATTTACAACAAATACTGCATGTCTGTATGTGTGTTTATACGACGTGCATCTAAAGTACAGTGGAATGTCGGATGCACCACCTCGTAGTTCGACGCTCGCTAGTGCTTTCGACCGCCATCTTTGCTGGGTCGGGGCGCTCTGGACTGGCGACACTCCTGTGTACAACGCTTTAGCAGCGTGTCCTCTCTATTTATATTATGTCCTCGTTGTTTTACACTTATATATTGCGGAAAGTAAATAAGAGAAACGTCTTATAACACTTAAAAGATATATTTACGCTTATACTGTTACTCACAAGACGGTAAATATACAAAAAAGATGGTAAGTGGTGATCGATTTCGATTGGACACTCCAATCATCATCAGACCCAATAGGCGAATGACTATATGACACTTATATATTGCAAGTACTCTCAGAATAAATAGCAAATGCTGGAGCTGTAATCACCGTACGCCCGACCGATAAATTGCATATATCATGGGTGAAATAAAAACGACGGCGAAATAAAAATATTGGATACTGGCTAAAAATATAAAAACACCCGTGGAAGGGGAGGCAGAAATATTTTGCAACCACAACCCTCCTTGCGTCCTGCCACACAGACGTAGACGGCTGCTCTACTGAGTACTGACCTTGAACGTTTTACGTCAGAACTCACTATGGGGGGGGGGGGGGGGGGTGTAGATCTTTGGTTTTGACTTTGAAATTGAACTGTAACAGTTTTGGGATAATGTTCCTATTTCTAATATTTCACTTATCTGTTATATGTTCAAATATTTCACTTATACTCAAATATTTGCACTGAACTTAAATAGCTTTCCATGAATTTGCATTCAACCAAATTTTTACCAAGAAAGGTCAATTTTATGCCCCTCCAAAAGGCTCGAGTGAGCAGCTACATACGTCGCACAGCCCTCAGGCTGGCCCTGGCGATACCAAAGAGTATAGGATTATTGGAAAAAGCAGTGCCCCACTTAACCACTAACAATTAGGTGCTTGAAGTTTGGGATGATTTTATTTTGAATTTACCTTTTATAACTGCAGGTTTTTGCAATGTTTGGGGCTATAATTAATCACAAACCTTCCCGTGGTGAACTGCGAGAGATGCATATTAATATCCACTGAAAGCATAATAATAGGCTATTAAAATGTTCTAATAGGTTAATAGACATTTAATTTGATATTTTTACATAGTTATTGTGTTTCAGGTTATACATTATAACATGGAACCTGGCAGAACAAATGCCTCCAGCAGACTTAGACCTGAAAGAGTTGTTGAATTTGAATTCAGAAATGCATTCAAAACCAGATATTTATATAATTGGGTAAGCATTAAACTAGGTATGCGGCCTCAGGCTCGGCAATTTGGAGAAAACAACGATGTTAAGTAATCTTCTTTCTAAATACAATTTACTAGCAACAGAGCCAGTTGTGGTTAAATACAATGGTCTGTAGTAAAAAAATGGTTTTGAAATCCATACACCACTTTACTTACTAATATTAATGGTACAGATAAAGCACATAACATAAGAAAGACACTTTAATATCATTTTCCGCATCATTCAAAGTGTTTTCTGTTGTAAATGTACACGTCTAGGTCTCAATTATAACTAATTATGTCTAAAAAAATTAAATACTACCCAGATTGTTAACCCTCCGAGTGTTCCTATACTCAATTCCACGTTCACCGTGCAGTACGGAGCGCCCGTATGCCATGTATTTCAAATGGGAGTTTCCGCGCTACTAGCCGTCCTAAAAACATCAACACCCGTGAACCGCTACTGCACTACTCCATACCACTGCATAAACCCTTTTAATTTCGTCTAGGTTTTATTGATGATTTAGTAATTTATCACTTAATACCTCATTAACTTCAAAAAAGCCTATAATAATTTATGCACTAATCAAAACATCTTAGAAAACATTTTACAATGAAAAAAATCAAACTACTACGTATTTTAATTATTTTCACGCAATACCATATTTATATTTATGTTGATTAATAGATTTATTATTCATGTTTGGTCAAATTAACTCACCTTGATTGCCAACTGTGACTCATTGCAACGGAACCACTCCAGATTCTGCACTGACGATAGACGTCGAACTTTCGTCTCCTTCAGTAGACAAAGATCCAGAAAGATGAATAATTAGAGGCTCGACGTCATCTTGCAAACTGTCTATCTTCCACATATCATTTTCAATGTCTATTACATGTTTGCAATAGTTCTTCCATTGCTCATTTTTGACGGACTTAAATGCGTTGTCAATTAACGGCTCCATAAGCTTAACATCGTACGCTTTGTTGTTGGCTGCAACGTGTCTCTTTACTTGGCTCCAGACTAGTTCTATAGGATTTAACTCACAATGATAAGGAGGTAGTCTTACAATTTCGATATTATGAGTTTTCGCTATCTCATCGATGGCATGAAGGTCAAACAAATGCTTAATTTTTTGCACTTCAGCAAGCAGTTCTTTCTTTAAGCTGTCCTGTGGGAAGGTTACGTTTTTGTCTAGTAACCAATTCTTAATGTCTTCTTTTTTTGTTTTCGTGTTGGGTACTTTTTCCAATTTACGGCTGTGGTAAGACGCGTTATCTATAACAACGACGGTACCAGGGGGGACATTAGGAACCAATTGTTCCACAAACCTTTTTTCATAAGTGTCTGCATCCATTTCTGCGTGGAAATCGGCTGTTCCTTTTTTTGCTAAAAATACTAGCTGCGCTCCTTCAACAAACCCATTTTCTCCTCCTGCGTGTACAATGACAAAACGAGGTCCTCGTTGAGTAGGGTCTTTAAGCCCTGTCGTTAGCCCAGCTAAGAACGCATCCTTCGGTGTTTTTATAGTTTGATCTTTCCATATTTTAGATGTAGCTTGACCAACATTTACCCATGTTTCGTCCATAAAAACAATATTTCTCTTTTCCTTCCTAAACCGCCTCATTGATCGTAAATAAGAATGACGCCATACAATCAAATCGTCACGTTCTAAAAGTAAAGACTGTCTTTTACGCTTTTCGTAACAAAAGCCATTTTCTTTTAGCAGCCTCCACAACGTAGTTCTTTTGAACTCAGGAAGATCTGGATCATCGTTCAGTTTTTCCAAAACTGCAGTAAGTGTGGGAGGTGTATTGGTCGCAAAAAATGAATGGATTATCTTCCGAATACATCCAATAACAAACCCATCGTACTTACGTTTTCTGCTGGTTTTGTATTCCATCTTGCGTGGATTCTTTCTTGGCGTAACAATATTACCAACGGCTTCTTCTTTCCGGAATTTGTATATCGACCGCAAACTGGTTAACGTCGCTTCACTAGTTTTTTTTGTCCAAAACGACACATTTTGATCAGGGAAAGTGTTTTGGAAATATTTAAAAACATTCAAAACTGTTTTATGGTCACCACTTTTGATCGGTTTTCCAGCAGATCTCCCCGCCATTGCGAAAACGTCGATTTAACTATACAGCAACACTAATTTAAAAAATTCTACTACACTACACTAAGAATTCAAAAACAAATATTTTAAACGTTTGCACAATTCAGAGATAGTAACGAACTATATTTCACTAAATGTAAGACACTGAAATCTACACGTCCAAATCGACACACTTCTTCCGCTAAACTGATTTTATCCAGCTTTAAGTATACACAATGTAGCAGATGTATTATTTTATTGGTATAGGGCGAGCGTTTTATTGGTCATAAAAAGTAATTGCCCCTGGAATCATCAACGGATGTACGTAGTCTGTTAACTGATGCATTGCACCAGTTGTTTATTTTTTTTAAAACACAAGACATTGAATAAACTACGATTTATTTATCCACCACAGAATTTATATTTTTAAGTCATATTTCTTTGACAGAGGCTTATTAATAAAAGAAAGTAGTTGTAATTAAATTATTTTTTTGAATTATTTTTTAATTATTTTAGTAATATAATTAGGCTATACCCAATAACTTATTAATTTAATCGGCAACTTGTTCCAATTAATTCATGGCAAATTTTCCTTTTTTATAGAGTTCAAAGCTTAATTCCAATGTAAGATACTGACTGGGGTTAAACATTCAACTTAAACAAGCCTTAATATTTAATGGAAAAACATATAATTTTTATTAGTCCAAGTCAAATTACCAGTCTATCTTGATAAAACCCATAAAACACACAGAAATTAGAAAAATGAACTTGAGCGCCTTCACGAGAGACGCGAGGACTGTTGACGCATCCCGCATGACAGAAAACATGAATTTTACAGTAATGGTAGTAGCAAGGCTATCTCCATAAGACCTGTACTGCACGGTGAACGTGAAATTGAGTATAGTTTTGGCCTTAATGTTTGCCTATTTTTTGCGCATTTGCAAGGTTTTATTAAAACGGATCTGAGAAGCTTAAAAACAATGTTAATTATACTGTTCTATATACCATTTTGTTTGGAAAATCATGGGCTTCAATATTATACATAAAACATAAGGAACATTTGTTGTTAGGTAAAAAAAAAAAAATATTTTGGGAAAAAAAAATAAGTTTGCGCTCAATGAAATTGTGTAAATTATAGGCCTATAAATATTTGAAAATAGCCACTTTGTTATAAATTTTATGAGGATTACAAATATATAATAATATAAGGAAGTAGATTTGCAAATAAATAAGTTATGGGCAAAAAACAGATTTCAGTACATAGCGTTTAGCTAAGAATGCATAGCCTAACCATAGCTAGGAATCTGGCTGATAATTTACATCAATATCACTACCTACTTCTTCAGGATCATCAACCAGCCCTTCAAAATCACTTAAATCTTCTTATAATGCACCACGTATATCACTACTTTAGATTTTTAACACTAAAACAATGATAAACGTAATAAAACACATCAGTCATCGGTGCGAGGTTAACCAAGCTGTTTACAAATACGCACGTCAGCTGTCTGCTACAATTATGATCGGCTCGAGAAAAAAAAGCGCATAGAGACAGACCTCGGGAGAAATCTTATAATCTGCCAAATAAAACGATACCTAACTCAATCCAGTTCAATCCGATTTTGTCAGTCATAGAGCCTTCGCCGACAACAGTGTTTGTGAGTAGAAAAATCAACACAAAACACTACACAAAGTGTGTTATGTTTTCGACACATAACACTCGGAGGGTTAAACTTGGAAGATTAATAAAGGAAAGAACAGGACTGCAAATATTCTTAGTTATTTTACAATTCCAAATTTCTAATAGTGCTTTGAATCCCCCCTGCGGTTTCGGGGTTAGAATAGAACCGCAGCCTTCCCGGGCTTGTCGTAAGAGGCGACCAAAAGGGTGACCGACGCTCTCACTGGGAGTCCCTGGGAGTGCCCCTGTTGTGTTTGCAGGGGTGTTGTGCTCTGCACTGCCGATGGGTATTCTCAGTGAGTCGTGAGAAGCCAGTCACTTCGGTCCTTGGTTAGGGAGTGCGGCATGGATGTAGAGGTCGGGCTCTACATTGTGACGGGTGACCCCCGGCACGTCAGGTATCCGGTGCTGGGAAAACGGAGGTTGGGCCTCGGGGAACATGGTAGGGGCGCTGTCCCCGAGGGTATACCCGTTCCTGACTATTCCGGGCCGCCCCTTGCCGTACGATGCGCTGGTAAACACAAGATGGCTTTTAAAACAAATACCCTGAACACATCTTTGATAAGTAGCTCGGATGAGCAAGAAAAGAAGTCGGAAGTAGAGCGAGACCCTTTTGGGCGAAGCTCCAAGGTCCAGAGATCGCCAACATTGAAAGGGGTGAAGACGTCTCCACCACCTGCAACTTTCAGGTGTACAAAAGACTTGACTTTGGGATCTCCCTTGACAAGTGGAGAAGGAAACGGTGGACCACCCTCTAAGTCTGGTGAAGGGATGCCGGAGGAATCCCTAACAGCAGCGTTAGATTTGGAAGTGTCGGGAATGGTACTTCTGCGTCAGCAATATCTTGACGCAGAAAATGACATTGAAAACCGGCTTCGAAACATGGAGCAGACCATAAAGACAATGCTTGAAACCTTTAAGACGCAGAGAGGAGTTAACCAAGTGGTTAAAAATGGTATGGCTAAGCTCGAGGACGACCTTGGTTTTGTCTTCGCCTGCCGGCTGGTGAGCAAGGCGGCCATGGAAAGGATCGCCGAGAAGGTGGTGTCCCTACCTGACGACAATGCGCGACCTTCCAAGAAACGCAGGAGGCCTACATCAGAAAGCCCTCCAAAAAGAGAAGAGGTTGTTCAGACAGCAAAGCCTAAAGTTAAGGTCAAGGCGACCCAGACTTCTAGGTCCTTCTCTGACGTAGTTGCCGCTCCAGCGAAACCTCAACAGCCACAG